CACCTCCTAACTGGATTGTGTTATCTAATAGAACCTTGGGCTTCCTATGGGGCCGGGAGAGTGTAATAGTTTTACCTTGACACTTCTTGCTTGTCTTATGGTAACACCTTGTGTTCCTACTATTCTCACTCCTGCGGTTCTCGCCTTTCTTTTGCTTTATAACCTCTGGTTTGAACATCATTCGGGGAATTCTCCAATCAATCAAGTCTATACTGTTACACTATCACGTTCTTGCCGTGTATGCTTGGTGTAACTTACTCTTTCATGCACGCTGTATTAAAGTAATTCGCCCATCTTGAGACAGGTTAGAACAAAATGAGCTGACAAAGACACCAAGGTAAGATTACTACGAATGAAAAGTCACGATGGACAAATACAGTAGACATGCGCGAAGCAGGCAGGAAGATCTGAATACGAAGCAGGCAGCAAGATAATACGCAACGAGAGCATATCGCAGCTTAAATCGTGATGAAAAGTTACTGCGATTCTATAACAATTAATCTCCCTGGAAAAATATCTGTTGGAGCACCTCGGGACCAAGCAGGGTAGCAAGAGGCAAAAGTGATAGTAGGCTCAGCAGATGGTTCACGCAACGCATTGTCCGCCACACAGCAGGTCATAGTGTCCGGAGCGGGAGGGGATAACAAGTTTTCAGCCGGAGAATCGGCAGATTCATGTGACGCCGCTGGCGCAGCATGAAGAGAAAAAAACTCAGGAAATCAGATTCAAGTCCTGCATGGAAGTGGTGATGCTTCCGAAAGTGGAGTTGGGTACTGTTGTTTGTTCTCTACGTCCGTGACATTGCGAAAGAGCTGTCCCCTTACAACGTTGCGACCCTGCATTTTGAGGACGATATCTCAATTAGATCCAGCAGCATGAGCACGGATGAGGTGTCCCAAAATCTCTCAAGTGCTGTCCAGCACCTCGCCGATTGGCTTAGGAACAGCGGTCTCATCTTGAATGAAACGAAGACGCAGATCATGTCGATATCGCCAGTACGATCTCAAACATTTGACTTGCAAGTGCAATGTAATGGACTGCCTCTGCCAACTGTTCGCTCTGCGAAATATTTAGGTCTCCACTTTGATGCGGACATGAGCTGGAACACCATGGTTGACCACGTCGCACGGGGCGTCGCGTCGAAAGTTGGCGTGCTCAGACGATACGCTACGTTCCTGCCTTTTCAATGTCGCATAGCCTATTTTCGTTCTTTCATTTTATCACACTTTATGTATGCCGCTTCTGCTTACTTACCATTTCTCACGGCTTATCAAAGTCGACGGCTTAATGGGCTCTTCAAGCGTGCTGTAAGCACAGTCTGTCGGTACCTCCCGGGACACCGACAAGCAATATTCTTACACGTATGAACATCCAAACATTGACCACATACGCCAACATGCACCTTCTGGTTTTTATCTGGCGTTGTATCCATGACTCCTTTAACATCAGCATGTTGTTTGCTAACTTTTTCAGCCACAGTATTTCCACTCAAACTCGTGGTGGGCACAGCAATTTACTGATTGTCCCAGCCAGCCCAACTGCATATCTTGCCAAACGTGTTACCTATGCTGGGACCATCTTATGGAACCAGCTCCCCGCTGCGGTCAGGCAAGAAAGAAAACGCAATCGCTTTAAGTCAATGGCTCTTGCTTTTTTGCTTACCAGATAAATAAGCCATTTTACAAATACTGTATGCACTGCTCTTTACGTTATTTTCTCCCTATGCAAGTCGCAACTCCTGTTTTGAGTTGTTTTTCTTCTCTCTTTTTCTTTCCCTACTAGTTGCTGTTACACTCACTGATCCTTATGCACAGATATACAGCATTCCCTCACTAGTGGGACCATTGTTATTAGGCTAGGGCCTGTTTTGGACTTCCCACTCTAAATAAAGAATACAAACAAACAAAACAAACATGTTACTTGTGATCTAGCACAAGGTTGACTTGGATGCGTCAAATATGTATTTGGCCTTTGGCCTCTGGTTAGTGGATCTGATATATCGTCTCCCACCGTTTAGAAGCTGCATTAATCGCCTGATCATGTGGTAGCTCTTGGCGAATTATGCTCAAAAGAGACAAAGCATTGGCAGATTCTGCTCGACTCCTTTCAGGCTGTGAAATCTGCAGAACCATGCACATCTTATGGCAGGCACTTCTTCGAATTCTGCTCCAATTCTTTAACCACATATCAAAAACATGCATGTAACATACCAACAAAGGTACCAAGATCTGCCAATTTCTGCCGGCATTATCCGCTAAGGTTCTAGTGGGGTGGGGGCGTCCCACGGAATCGGTGAGGCGGTCCTTGACCTAGGTGTACTTCACGCGAGGCCGTTACTTTTGTATTGTTTTCATTTACTCCTGGTGTATTGATTTCCCCGATCCCACGTCGGACCCTATTGCGGGGTTCTAGCGAAGACCTACGATTTCGTTGATGTTGGCAAGCATTGCATACAGTAGTCTTTGCAGTATTACTGTTTATCACTATCTTAGTATTGACTCCCATTGATTTTAGCTATACCTAAGCAGTCAAATATTCCTGCATATTTCACTCCTTAGCCCTATTATTGACTGCTTTTATTTGACTGCTTAGGGGTTCCGCAGTCGAACGGTGCCTAGTGCAGCATGGTGACTGTATGAGTGCGTGATGGTGCAATGGTTGTGCAATCATAAAACCGGGATTCATGAGTAGGGTCCAGCGGATAATGCTCCGAGAATGTTCGTATAATGCTAACCATAGTGCTCTAAAAACTGCCTTATAATGCTGATTATAATGCTTCAGCAAGGGATATAATGCTCTTGGTTTCGGACAAAAATGGAAGAATGTCTGCACATTGTCAAACGTCCAGGAAATTATGCATATCTGCATCTGAAGCTGCCACCTATCACTCACGAGCTCCACCACTTCTTAGCACTATAAAACATGATGGCTTCTACATTGATTGCTCTCCATTCCAACTTTGATGCAGGGTTGTGGAATAATAGTCGGCGTATCAAATATTTCCCCTAATTATCCATTTAGTGAGAGATGAAACCATTATTGCAGGTAGTCATTCATTGTTGGGATGAAGTTAATCTTGGCAAATAGTATTCCTGCCTGCAGACAAGCTGTCACTGAGTCCACTCTGTGAATAATGTCTTCATCTGGAACACCAGACATGAGGCCAGCTCCTGAGATCCGATCTCAGATGGAGAGCCCTCCCATTTGCGGAAATCCTGAAAACACGTGGTCAAAATCTATTTTTTTCCACTCTACATCCTTTGCTTGTGCTCTCATCTCCTTGAGATGGTGTGTAGAATTACATGTATGGCTTGCCACAATACTCTTCCTTTCTGATAGCATTTGACCGTAGGCCTGGCATTACTACCGTCCAGGCGTCCACAACTAACTGAACGTGCTTCGTCAGGACAGTAAGACAGGCGCTGCTGAGCAATCGACTTGGTACTAAGTCCATGAAAAATTGTAGTTCTTTTCGAGCCTCCTGAGCTGGACTCGGCAAAGGCAGTTCTTTTGGAACGAGGTATTTCTGTTTATAGCCGCTCCTTCATCCTGGTCCAAATTTAGCAATGCAACAGTGTCTACTTCAGTTTCGCTAGAGATGCTATCGCCAGAGCCTCTGGCACAACTAGAAAACTCTTCTTCGTCTGTTTGGTATTCACTTCGCGTATGTCTCCTCCATAGCTCTCCATTATTCTAAAAGTAAAAGAAACCTCATAAATAATTTCTCCGGATTTGTGTCACTTGAATTGCCTCGGCCTCGGTTGGGCATGCTTCACAAATGGCTTGTATACATTCACCTGACCACATCGCTACAATCATAACGTTTTTATGTAGCAATAGACTTATAGTTACTCAATCTGCGGACAGCATGTAGCAATAGTTATGTAACGTTAGTGCTAAAGGTGTTACGTGTCTACACAATCATAAAGTCAAGCGCCGGTACAATGCATAGTGCTCAAATGCCCGGAATGGGCGGAGCGTAGTACGCAAGGGGTACACAAAAGGTGTAAAATAGGGCTGTTTCGTTGTTACGCAGATTTTCATGGCAAAAACCAATCATCAGACAACATCTTATGATCATGATTGTAGCCGATTGTTGCCTGGGATTTCCACTATGAAACTCGTTATGCCGCTCAAACCTCACATAATGCTCGTTTTGTTCCTTTCCTATGCTTCATAATGCTCTGATGCTCGGATAGTCGTATAATGACGAATATAATGCCGGCATTATCCGCTGGACCCTATTGATGAGGTTATCGTTCTGGAATTTGAAGTTCTTGAGTTCGATCATGTTGATTTACACAGATCAGAACGTGCCGTGGTATTTCCATGTTCAAATCTTTCTTTTTTTTTAAATTCTGAACGTTCGGGGTAGTTTAAAAATTTTCTGAACGTTCGGGGTAGATCTACAGACCTCGAACCCAAAACGAAAAATTTTGTTCTTAGATCTACCGGTAACAATCCTGCTGGTGGAGTGATCTAACGAAAGATTTCGTGAACGAAAATGTGTACAGTTACACTATACTGCGTAGCTTGCCACAGTGCCGGTGCAGGAGCAATAGGGAGGTTCCGGAGTACGATTTTTCGTGCCAAAATCCGTACAGGCGCTACGGATTTTTTTTACGTCGTTTTCGAGCAGTGAAATGTTCCGGAGTACGGAACTTATGTGTTTGCGTCATTGCCTAGGTTACAATCGTAAACACGCCACATTCCCGCGCTATGCCTTTTTATTTTGAAAATTTGTACCGAAATCAAAACTTCCCGCGGAAAATCCATGTTTCTCGTACCAAATTTGTACGCGAAAAATCTTTCTGCACCCGATGACGCAAAATCTCCATACGAAACATGGTTCGTGTGAAAGCCAGTCCACACGGATTCTCCGTGCCGAAAAATCGTATGGAGCAAGCCTGGAAAAAATCCGTAGCGCCCACACGGATTTTGGCACGGAAAATCGTACCCCGGAACCTCTCTATTAGCTGGCACTTCATTCGTCCGTTCAGAAGCCGTTTTCGTACCTCAGGAAAGTGTGCGGAAAGTGCAAGACTCCGTGGGGACTTGCAATGCTAGCTAGCTAGCGCCGTGGCTTGGGTTTCGCTCCAAATGTTTATTTGGAATCTTTCATTACGCTAATGGTCGAGTTCCTAGTAGTACAGAGATCGTTGCTCAGTGAAGGAATCCGCGATTCCAACTGAGTTTTTGCAAGGTGCTTCGTGGTGACCAAAGTCTGATTTACTTCCATTGTAAAAAAATATGGACGGTCGATCGCGGAACGTTCTTTTCTTAGTTCCTGCCTTGCTATGGCTGATCGTGTTGCCTAGTTTGTCCAACGCCACACGTGAGTATGAATTGGTCATTTGTCTCTGTTTGTGGCTCATGTTGCGATAGGTCCTGTATAGTTTCTTGCGCCCTCTATGTTTGAAAAGTACTTGAGCTGACTGTGGGCTTTCGGCCATATTTGAGCCGGTGCATGCTTCAGTGCTGTTCCGATCGCGCAGGAAATCTTGCTCCCTACACTACCGAACTACGTAGGGCAGTAAAACTCAATCTACACATTGGCTCTGCGTTCCTGTGCACAGAAAGCCGCGTGTTTGTGATGCTAGGTCAGTGTAGTACACGCTGGCATTCTTTTCATGAGAGAACTGCATTCCCAATGAATGAAACCTAGACAACATACTGAATCAATATCTGGGTACAATGTACTCGAAGTATAACATTCTCTAGACCCCAGCGACTACTCATCAACACAGTTGAACAATACACACACACACACACATACACACACATACACACACACACACACACACACACACACACACACACACACACACACATACACACGCACACCATGTACATGAACAATGTACCATGTATACGCCCGTCGCAAGAGAAGAACGCAAATCTGCAAATGCACTGGATGTGCATCCACAGATTTTCTCCTGTAGCAACGATAGCGAACAAGATCTGAATGAGACAGATCAAGACTTGCGCCAGATAACTGTCTAATCCACACAACTGGCCAAGCCGCACGGGACTGGGAGCAGGTGGAGAAAAGGCAGTTACGACACATGTGAATCGGCCACCAATGCACTCGCACACACACACACACACACACACACACACACACACACATATACACACACACACACACACACACACACACACACACACACACACACACACAGCAGTACACAAACACCCGCACATACACGTATGCATGCACTCACTCGCTCAGGGAATGACACACACACACACACACACACACACACACACACACAAACACACACAAACACACACCAAGTCAAAAACAGATACAGACACAGACCCTAGAAGACACAAACATACTTCGTTACACTTACACTGAACCCAACTTGGCTGAAAAGATATTCCCCGCTCAGTACACTCGGGTCAACGATATTATATCAGGGATACTCTGTCCCTCATGCTTTCCCCCGTGCTGAACACTCGTTAATTTGTTTGGGAGTATTCCCCTCGTATTCATAACATGAGCCATGCATACCAATACCTTTCTGGACTCCTGAGTGCTAGACCACCTGCACAACCCATAGGGAGTAACAACCATACTTGACAGGACGGCAACACACGGGATTGTGTATTAGCAATGCCTGGGCTTCACTGATCGAAAAGAAAATATTCTGCATTATATTCACGCAACAAAATCACCTGCAAGGGGTATTCAGAATTTATGCAATTTCTGAAGCAACAACTGTTCTCGCCCACCAGTAGCGTCTCCAGGGCTTGGCTGCCGGACATGTACAATGTTTTTTTCGGCTTGGTCAGAATGTTTGGAGCAGAGTATCCTCCTCCCTCCCCCCCCCCCCCCTCCCCTATGCATAGAGACAAACATTAATCAGATGACTCCGACGTTGATCAGATGATTCTGATCAGATGATTTTTTTATATGTTTTATTCCAAGCAATACATGGCTGGGGTAGCCAATGACCACTGCATCCTTTGCTTGTGCTCTCATCTCCTCCTTGAGATGGTGTGGGTTTGATTCCTACGTTGATCACATGACTCCGACGTTGATCACATGACTCCGACGTTGATCACATTACTCCGACGGTGATCACATGACTTCGACGGTGATCACATGACTCCTGCGTTGATCACATGACTCCGACGTTGATCACATGACTCTGACGGTGATCACATGACTTCGACGGTGATCACATGACTCCGACGTTGATCACATGACTCGGACGATGGTCGCATGACTCCGACGTTTATCACATGACTCTGACCTTGATCTTATGACTCCGACGTTGATCACATGACTCCGACGTTGATCGCATGACTCCGACATTGATCACATGACTCTGACCTTGATCACATGACTTTGGCCATGATCTCCGTTTGCAAACTTTGTGGTCATTACCTTCTGCATCTAAGGTGTTTATAGGAAAAATGCATGATTGTGTGTTTGTGTTTTCGTAGTTTATTTTATTGTATTGTGTTCATGTGCTATTGTTTTGTGTATTTGTACATTTTGTCTATTTTTCAGCTTGCCCCAGTCAGCAATGTCAGAACGGTGCAACATGTCTTTTGACAGGTGATGGTAGCACATACATCTGCTTCTGCACCAGCTCCTGGTATGGTCCCCAGTGCCAGTATTCATTCTTACAGCCCACAGGTATGTTGTTTGAAACTTTGCCAAGTCTTGGCTTTGAACATACCGTGCTGGAGGAATACTGTCTAGAGTTTGTACAGTATATTTTACGCATTGTGTATGTGTGCAAAATCAGGCACATCATATACATCTACTACACCTGGCACGGAATCGGATTTTGTAGAGCTAGAGTCTAGCCATGGGTTCACATCGATCAGATAGCAAAAAGATTCATCAAACGTATTATTCATTACTTGGAGGGAAGAGATGCAAACGGGAAAATCCTGAAGAAAAATTGACTGTCACCATCAGGGCTCAAACTAAACGTATTATGAGTTGCATTGGCAATGGAACGGTTCTCTTGTTGTTACTGTGGATATTTTACAAGAGTACTACTTCCGACGGCCTGAGTCTGGACTATTCTCTCTCTGTAATAAGCATAGGATATTTCTGGCGCTCTCCAGCTTTCAAATGTCACCCTGTGTAACAGGGCCTCATTCTTTCTTTTCATAATGTATCTCTGTTCTTCTGTGTTTTTAAAGATACATTCTAATACATATGCCACCTACTATCTCTTCCCGGTCCTATCCTCTTCTTGTGGCATTTCCTGCCGGTGTCTAGCCTGTTCTTCCGACTACTGCAACTACAAAGGCAATTGCACTTATAACGTATTGCGCCTGAAGCAATGTTCATGCAGTCCCGGCTATACCGGTGCTCTGTGTGCCACTGAGATATTCACAAGTGAGTTCTTTTGGTGATTCTGCGAAACCTTTAAAGGCATCGTTGCTCCACATTGAACGAAATTAGAAGTGGACTTGTCAAGTATCTTTTTGCTCCATTTTTTCTATCGATGTAGCCGCCCATATTCATCTAAACGGTAGTTAGACCCAGCTGTAACAAAGGGAAGTTTGATACCATAATAACACGATCAGGGAAAAGGATTTCAGTGACTGAACCTAACTGCACCATTCCATGTGGACGCCAACTTAGAGCTAACAAAGCTAATCATTCTTTTTCGTCCTCTGAATTGAGTCATTGCCTTATCTTTTCTTGATGCTTTTGTTTGCGTCTTCATCATCTTGTCTTCATCATTTTGCCTCTGTTTCCGCTGGTGTGCAGGTTGTTCATCGTCCTATTGCCACTACAATGGCGACTGTACGTCGGACCCGTTTGGACAGGAGTCATGTTCCTGCCATGCCGGGTTCCTTGGCCTATGGTGCGAAGCAGTGGATACTTCAAATGGTGAGTCTATTTTTATGCGAGTGTTGCGGGCGAAGGACAGTCCTGCTCAATGAAATCCGGTCGCGTCACTCAAGTTTGTGCCTTGCACCGTTTCGCAGCCCGGTGTTCGCAGGTCTAGGACTGCACAATGCCCGGCGCACACTTTAGTGACTCGACTGGAATTCAGTGAGCGACACTGTATAATGGTATTATGACGTGAAACAGTGGATTGTGAGTCTATATCTTTGTGTGTGAATTAATATTAACCCTTTACCAGCCGCAGGATTTACTTCCTCCGCGTCATCGAAATTGTCGCAGTTTGACTTTTGATATGAAACGGGTTTTTTACTCACCAGCACTCGTACCAGAGGCAAGGAATCGGACATAGGCGACGGTCATCAGTATAGAGTGACGGCAAAGTTCTATTTTCTGTTATTGGAAGCTGGAATTTTTGAACTAGACGCAATTTCTTCGCTGATGTCGCTGCGATGGTAATTTCGACTCGCTGAGATCAGTCAGGCGTTGCAGCCTCCACATTTCTCGTGCTTATGGCCATTCACTCAAGCCTCATTACTGTTTAACCTTAGCTGGGGTGAGAATGACTTCGTGGAACAAGTGGCAGCGCTTGGAGAAACATCGAGGGGTCAGCAAACTAAATGCCTTCACCAGCGATAAAATTTGTCGCTCTGGCCGAGACACTCGGTACATGATTGTACCTGCAAGAGCCGTGTAGACTCTACACGTAGTGCTAGTGTCTGTACTAGTGATGCACACGCAGGTGCCGTACCATGATACCAGTGAATCAGGGCCGGGCCGGCAGTGATGCTGAAAAAAAGGGCACGCTGGACGTGATAGTACACTTACCTGCATGAGCTGTGACCACACAGCTAAAATAAATGGGCATGCCGCGGCTAAAAAAAGTTCATTTCAAGATCGAGGTGATTCCGCCGACGGTAATCAACCGACCTTGCAAGGATCGTGTATTCTTACTAGGCTTCGTTGGTGGTGAAGTAGAAATCATCCAGAGCTAGCAGACTACAAGTATAGCAGCTCTTGTCCTGTGGAGAAAGTCAAAGCGTTTGAGATGAGGCGCGACCAACTTTCAACCTTCCTTGAAATATTTCGGAACGATAATTTTGCGTCCATTGACATCAGCGACGACAAGGACTTCATCTCTGCATCAAAACTCTCAGTCCAACTGTCCTGGAACGTTACTCTAGTCTTCAGACTATCATACTGTGTAATAAGTTTTGAATAGCTTAGCTTATGGAGTTGTCAGTAACAAGTGACAAGTCACTAGTCAAACTGCGACAATTTCGATGACGCGGAGGAAGTATATGTAATAAAACGGGGTCCACTAGATTGAGAATAGAGACTAAACGGTAAATAATTTGTATTGACACCTTTATAGTTCTGAAAAGCTGGTAGAATTATCTTTCATATGAGACTAAAACCAAGCTGATAACATGTAGAATCGTTGCCATTCATGGCGAACAATAACTCGAGCAATGTGGCCGAATTAGCAAATTCGAGGACCATGACAATATGTACACTGTTCAGCTTCAGCTCATGCACCAGTTCATCTGTCAAGATTCAAACACCAGTAGAACCAGGCTCAGTGTTCTTGCGCTCATTTTTGATGCATGTCACGCATCATGGGCTGTGCAGCGTGCGCTGCACTGGGGAAATCGCAAACACATACTTCAGCATGAAGTGCGTCACAGCCACACATACACACTTGAAATTTCAACTCCACCCGTTTGCTGGACTTCGAGCTTCGGCGCTTGAGTATTTTACTTCGCGCTATATCGAATGATGCATCGTTGGAAAGCTGCGTTTAATAGCTTTCCAATGAGCCGTCATATGTTGAATATGAAGTAGGCAGACCGACGTTATAGCTGTTTGTACAGTGCTCTATGCTCGTTTAGCATGAAATGTGTCACAGTCACACGCTTGAAATTTCAACTTCACCCGTTTCCTGGACTTCGAGCTTCGGCGCTTGAGTATTTTACTTTGTGCTGTATCGAATAAAACATCGTTGGAAAGCTGCGTTCAATAGCTTTCCAATGAGCCGTCATTTGTTGAATTTAAAATAGGCAGACCGAAGTTATAGCTGTTTGTACAGTGCTCTATGCTCGTTTAGGATGAAGTGCGTCACGCTTGAAATTTCAACTTCACTCGGGTGCATTCAACCGTGATTTTCTCGAAAAAAATGATGTGCAGCACACGGTTTTCTCGATAGTAGGTGATTCCGTAGGTTTTCAGCAGTAGTTTGTGATTAGTCCGACTGCGGTGCGGCAAAAAACCATGGTTTATAGAGCGAAAAACGAATGCGTCGAATTCGACGCATTCGCACTATGTACGGCTGGTAAAGGGTTAAGGAGTAATATGTACGGTGTGAACTTGTCAAAGGCATCCTGGGGAATGACGTCCATCGTACATAGAGCCAGAGAACTTGATGGAGAAGGCTCCTGCGGGACATCGGGCGGGATGTAGTAGGGGCAAGGTGGCCCACAGCCAACCACCCACTCCGAGTCCCAACCAGACAGTAGATGCAATGAGTTTTAAAATGAACGGTTTTATCACTATTATGGCCCTCAGCACTAAGTTTAATGTAAAAGTTTTAGTAGGACAAACTACTGTTGTATGCCGAAGAACAGGGGGGAGGAGGGGGGGGGGGGGGGGAGGGGATTAAGCCTCCTAGACTAGACCGTTGTTATTTTCATGCTTCGCAGTCTATGCACAGTTCAGTCACCGCGCATACATTGGTATGCTGTGTTTGGTAAAATTCCAGCCTTGTCGTTCTTCGCCGCTCCGTTCTTCGGCGCCCGGCAGTGCGGCAGTTTGTACCACAGTGCCAGGTGACATGAAAATTGTAGCACATGTTTGCAATGGGGTTGGGGGCCGGGAGGGGGGGGGGGGGGGCTTCTCTGGTCCTTCCCCCATTGACGCCCGCTTGATTCGGTGTTGTATGGACATGTCAAAGTCATTTGCACTGCTTGATCCCGGGACCGCCCGGCTAAGAGAGATATCAGCGTTTTTGTTTTGTCTTCAGAGACAAAACTGTGGGTAAGTCCACGCCTTCTTACCGCTGGGTAGAAGTACCTTCTGTGCTTGCAGTACATTCTTGTTTCCTGTATCAAGTTACTATCAACGACTTCCAAACATGCTTTACTTTGCCTCTTGCCTTTGTTTCCTGATCTCTTCAGATATCAGCTCAGCTCCCGACACCAAGTCCAGCCCGAGAACAGCCATAATCGCCTCGATCAGCGTAGCTATCGGCGCATTGCTGTGTGTCACCGTCGTGCTAGTATGTCTGATCCTTCGCTCGGCCAGAAAAAGAAGGCTGAATCGTAACCACCAGCTCCTGATGGCGTCGGAGGAGGACCAAGTGGGCACATGCCCTGCACCACCAGCAACAATACCAGCAATGACACCAGCTACATCCGGTGCATGTCAAGTGGCTCCTGCAGCTCCGTGCACTCAAGCTGACAACGCCGATAGCCCGACTTCGCCGGTAGTGTCGGCCTCCATTCATACAGCCAGTGGAGGCAACGCTGATGCATCCCTGAACGTTCACACAATCCTGAGGGAGGACAAGTGTTCTGAGTATGCTGCTGGCACCGTGCCCCAGCCAACGCACAACCCACACGATACTGCAGATGCAATATCCCAGCCAATACAAAACCCACATCATGCAGCCTGTGCAACGTCCCAGCCAACACACAACCCACATCATGCAGCCAGTGCAATGTCCCAGCCAACATACAACCCACATCATGCAGCCAGTGCAACGTCCCATCCTGCTCACAACACATGCTGTACCGCCTACACAATGCTCCATCCAGCACACAATCCACATCATGCGGCAGGTATGATTCCCCAGCCAGCATACAATCCACATCACACAGCCGGTGCAATGTACCATCCAGCACACAACCCACACGATACCATGTACACAATGCCCCATCCAGCAGCACACGACACACACCACACGGCAGGCACAACGGAGCAGAAAGGATACCTGCCTGACCACGTGCCCACGCACACACCTGGTGCTTCAATACCTGGACCGGCCAGTATGGCAGGCTTCTCGGCCGACCAAGCAGCTGCCATCGCCGCTACCGCCCCGCCAGCTTATGAGGATGCCGTTCCAATGTCCCAGCGTGTCAAGCATTGATTGTGTCACAAGGCAATCATCGATGCTTTCGATTTACACAGGATGTGAAAGCTTACGGCTGCAGACAACAACTAGGTACGTCTCTCCAAATATTGTTAGTGACCGTCAACATGTTATAAAGCTGCATTTCCCATCTTAATTCCCTCCAATTGAGGATTTTTAAAAGGTGTATTTTATTGACTTGTCAATGCTCCTTCATGATAGATATACACATTGCATGATCATCCCACTTTCTCAGGCTTTGTTCCAATGCACCTGTAAGTGGTGTGTTGTGGCTGTCAAGCCCGCATTACATATCGACCTGCATTACATATAGACCTGCATTACATATAGACCTGCATTACATATAGACCTGCATGGCATATCGGCCTGCATTGCATATCGGCCTGAATCATTTACTTTCATTGTCGGGTGTTTAGCCTTCCCATGGATATTGCTTTTAAACAGGTCCGTGGAAGAAAGAACAACTCACTGATTGCTATTATGTAACAAGAAGCCTCGTTCGCTTGGCACTTCATTCTACCTCTCAGATCCTTTTCGTATTACCAATACCTTTTTCCACCATTGACCCATTAGATCGTTAGGCTACTCTCGCTAGATAAGGACAGTAGTATGTCAAGTCAATAGAGAATCTGTTAGATGAAAATTTATGAATCACCACACATGTTTTTCTGTTCAAATCTTGCGGAGAGCTATTATAGAACATTTATCATGCAGCTTCTGTTTTTTTTCTTTTTCATTATTTACGTCCTACACTTCTGAAGTACGCTGCTGCTTCTCTTTCTGCAGCCACGGTCCTATGCAGAAATTGCATTACCAGTATCGGGGCATTACTTTCAATGGCAATGGCAACCAAAGTGCTATCCATGCAAGTACATTGATAGATTGTGACGTATCCTTGAAGTTGTTATAACTTACTCTTTCATGCTCGCTGCACGCAACACCCTGAGTAATTCGCCCACAATTGATCTGCATGAAGTTTAGAACAAGAATGAGCTGACAATGACACCAAGGTAAGAATGAAAAGCAATGATGGAACAATACCGTAGACCTGCGCGAAGCAGCCAGCAAGATAATACGCAGCGAGAGCAACACTTAGCTGAAATCGTAATTAAGTGACTACACGCTATGTCAGGTATTCGCCCCTGAAAACATCCGTTGGAGCACGTCGAGACCCAGCAGGGTAGCAAGAGGCAAAGGTGAGAGCAGGATCAGCAGACAGTTCACACAACGTATTAGCCGCCACACAGTAGGTCACAGTGTCCGGAGCCGGACGGGACGAAACAGCAGACAATTCAGCCGGAGAATCGGCAGACGCGTGTGACACCTCTGGCGCAGCATTAAGAGAAAAAACTCAGGAAATCATATTGAAGTCCTGCTTGGCAGTGGGCGGATTTTTCTAACCGTGATGCCTCCCAAAGTGAAGTGGGCACTGACGTTACGTGTGGTCTAGCACAAGGTGGACTTGGATGCGTCAAATATGTTTTCGGGCTTTGGACTCTGGTGGAGTGGTGGGTAGATCTGATCTGTCAGTAGCACCCCCCCCCCCCCCCCCCATCCCCATCGTTTAGGAGCATTAGTCGCCATATCATGCATGGGGTAGCTCTTGGCGGATCATGCTCGAAAAGTTGGCAGATTCTGCTCGACTCCTAGAAAGCAGTGAAATCGGTGGAACCATACAAACCTTATGACAGGCACTCGAATTCTGCTCCATTTCTTTTAACCACAGACCAAAAATGCATGAAACTGACCAGCAAAAGTACCAAAATCTACGAATTTTCTGCCGGCATTATCCGCCAAGGTGCTGGGCTATCATGGGGTGAGGGCGACCCACGGAAGTTGCAAGGCGGTCCTTGACCTAGCTGTGTTTCACGCGAGGCCGTAATTCCTTTGTTGCTTGCCTTTACCATATTTACTCCTGGTGTATCGATATCCCCGATTCCACGTCGGACCCTATAATGGGTTCTAGTGAAAATTTACGATTTCATGATTGATATTCCCAAGCATCGCATTGCATTGCTTACGCGGTAGTCTTTACAAGCAATGTGTGTGTGTGTAGCATCTGGCACACCAAGATGCGGTGTAATGTGGATAAAAGCACGCTTTCCGAAACGAAAATGAGTTCGTCCACGCACACCAGACCAATGCTGAGTTTGACCATGTTGATTTACACAGAACGTTCCATACACATGTACGAATCATTTTTACTGATGAGTTGTTCTGTCAATCCCCCCGGTTAGTAGAAGTAGTGCCGTGGTAGTGCAGCGTAGCCGGCCGGTTCAGGAGCAATCTGCCACTTCATTCGTCCGTTCAGAAGCCGTTTTCGTACCTCAGGAAAGTGCAAGACTCCGTGGGGTCTTGCTAGCTAGCTAGCGGCTTGACTTGGGTTTCGCTCCCAAAGTTTATGTTGGAATCTTTCATTACGCTAATGGTCGAGTTAGTATACAGCTCGTTGCTTATCGAAGGGATCCTCAAATTGATTCCCATTGAGTTTTTGCAAAGTGCTTCGTGGTGACCCAAGTCTGAAACGATTTACTTCCATTGAAAAAAATATGGAGTGCCGATCGTGGAACGCTCTTTTCTTAGTTCCTACCGTGCTATGGCTGATCTCGTTGCCCAGTTTGTCCAACGCCATAAGTGAGTACGAACGGATCATTTGCCTCTGTTTGTGGTTCATGCTACGATAGGTCCTGTATAGTTTCTTGCCCCCTCTATCTTTGAAAGTACTTGTCTGCCCCTGACTGTGGAGTTTCGCCCACGTTTGAGCCGGTGCATGCTTCAGGGCTGTTCCGATCGTGCAGGAAACCTTGCTCCCTACACTACCGCACTACGTAGGCCAGTAAAACCATACCTATTGAATCTACTGCGTGACTCTGCGTTCCTGTGCACAGCAAGCCGCGTGTTTGTGACATTAGTACTAGGGCCGTGTAGCATGCTGGTATTCTGTTTATGAGAGAACGGCATTCCCAATGAATGAAACCTAGACAACAATCATGCTGAATCAATATCTGGGCACAATGTACATCATTTTCTTGACCTCAGCGACAGCTCACCAACACAGTTGGAATACTCTTCCCACTGACTGCCGTCTGGCCCCGTCTAGTCTTACTCTGTATGTAAACATGGTAAAAATTCACCTAGGGTTCCCTGTAAAAAGGCAACGCCACTTGGGACTCCCCTAGTAAAATAATAAAATATACTACTACTATTACTACTACTACTACTACTACAGTTGAACAAGACACACACATGCACACACGCACACACACGCAAACACACACACACACACACGCATGCGCACGCACACACATTCACGCACATACACACACACAAACGAACATACATATGAATACAAAACACACATACGTACATGCGTGCACCCACCCACACACCACCCACACACTCACACACAAACACACACACACTCACAAAAACACGCACCAACGGAAACACAGATACAGGCACAGACAAGGACACAACACATTCCTATACACTTACAAGGAACCCCGCTCGTCTCTAAATTTATACCCTGCTTAGTTCACCCGGTTCAAAGATATAGCCTTCTCAGTTGACTCGGGTCAATGATAAAAGTTTCAGGAAACGGTTTCAATGAATTCCATCGGGTCAAAGAGAAACGTTTCAGAAAACCCATTCAATTCCATCGGGTCAAAGATATACCCCGCTCAGTAAACTTGTTTCAAAGATGCATTTTACCCCCCTCAATTTACACCACGAGTAAATAAGGCAGTGGTAATGTCGGCCATGCTCTACATTTGGGACAGCAAGTGGGATAAATGGATTATACCATGCATACTCTGTGCATATCGTGTCGATCATTTGTTCCCACTTGCTGAAGCACTCGTTAATTTGTTTGGGGTATACCCTCATATTCATGACATGAGCCATGCATACCAAGGCCTTTCTGGACTCCTGAGTCCCAGACCACCTCCACAACCCATAGGGAATAACAACCACACGTGACAGGAAGGCAACACACGGGATTGTGTATTAGCAATGCTTGGGCTTCACTGATCGAAAAGAAATTGTTCTGCATTACATGCACGCAACAAAATCACCTGTTAGCGGTATTCTGGAATTTATACAATTTCTGCTTTTTATTTTTATTATGAGTGATGGTAGACAGGTTCCTCACTAAATTAATCCGAGCAACTTTACGTAATTGGGCGGGGAAACCCGCGAATTCGCGAGTTTGCACTCCAATTACGTAAGATTGTCTACACAGAGCACGGAATGGAGCTCTAGTAACGGAGGTGCTCGGTAAGTGGATTGAGGTATAAATGATTGTATGACTCTTTCCCTGGGCCGTACACTGTCGCGTTCGCAGTTGCCCTGGGCAGCTACGCTATTCGAAAACTCTGTGTGGGAGAACACCGATACACATGCGGTGTACGTAAGACTTTCGGTAGATCGACTGCGTTTTTCACTCGAAGTACTAACGTAGGTACGTTGTGCCCGAACCTCTCCAATGATGAATTATGCGTGCAATTAACATGTGTGCTCTGCAACCTAGAGATCCTGTGCGTTGCAAAGTGTAACTGTAATTTCTTACTTAGCAAGTATACACTATCTTGCAAAGCATATTGTCACATGGATAAAATCACGCTCACTGGAGCAACGACTGTTCTCGCCCACCAGTAGCATCTCCAGGGTTTGGCTGCCGGATGTGTACAAGGGTTTTTTCTGCTTGGTCAGAATGTTTGGAGCAGAGTACCCTCCCCTCCCCCCTGTGCATAGAGACAAACATTAATCAGATGACTCCGACGTTGATCACATGACTCCGACGTTGATCACATGACTTCGACGTTGATCACATGACTCCGACGGTGATCACATGACCTCGACGTTGATCACATAACGCAGACGGTGATCACATGACTTCGACGTTGATCACATGACTCCGACGTTGATCACATGACTCCGACGTTGATCACATGACTCCGACGTTGATCGCATGACTTTGCCCATTGTCTCCATTTTCCAAACTTGGTGATCATTACCTTCTGCATCTAAGGTGTTCATAGGAAAAAATGCATGAGTGTTTGTTTGTGTTTTTGTAGTTTATGTTATTGTATTTTGTTGATGTGCTATTTTCGTGTACTTGTACATTTTGTCTATGTTTCAGCTTGCTCCAGTCAGCAATGTCAGAACGGTGGAACATGTCATTTGACAGGTGATGGTAGCACATACAGCTGCGCCTGCGCCAGCTCCTGGGATGGTCCCCAGTGCCAGTATTCATTCTTACATGACTCAGGTATGTTGTTTGAAACTTTGCCAAGTCTTGGCTTTGAACATACCTTGCTGGAGTAACAGGTACGCTGTAGAATATGTATAGTATTCAGGCGCATACGCAGGGTCACCTCTAGGGGGCGTTTCCAACCGAATCACAACCAATGAGTTTTAAGTTGTAATCCTTTCTCAAACCACAGGAAATTTTAAAAATTCCGCATTTTTTCATATTCCTTGGACCATATCTTCAGTTCCACTCACTCAATCTTCATAATCTTGGGCTTCCTGGAATTAGAATGATAGGTATCCAGGAGAGGAATAGGCCAGGGCATTGTACCTGTATATCCAGCGCTAGAGTGCAGCAACAGTGCGAAAAATGCCCCAAACGCACCCTGCTAGCTCCAGCTAATCGTTTTTCTCCATCACAGTTTCGATTTTGGCTGTATACTCCTGAGAGCATCACAAGTGAAACCGTGCAAATTTCACCAAGTCAGGTTGAAAAAAGCCTCGAATTCTCAACACTCACGTCGCGCTGCACGCTTTTGAAATTGCCGAGATCGCGGCTCAACTTACGAATGATGTATCTCAAGAAATATTCGCACCGCTTCGCGAATTGTTTCAACTGACAGCTGAGAGTTTTCTCTCCGACCTGGATATTTTGATTTGATAAAGATTTGACTGAGTTTCGGTCTGTTGAAGTTTTGCATTCTTGTCACATCGATCGTGTGCCCTACCAAAAAAATACCCAAAAACGTTGCACGTTTGGAACATTAGGGGGGTTTCCGGGCAACGGGAACCCCCTCCCCTGCGTACGCGCCTGATACTTTATGCATTGTGTGAACGCAAGCGGGCACGTCATGCACGAAACTAAAACCGGCACGGAACCAGTTGTAGAGTCAAAGTGTACCCATTGGTCCACATCGATCAGATAGCAAAAAGGTTCATCAAACGTACTATTCATTAGTTGGAGGGAAGAGATGCAAACGGGAAAATCCTGAAGAAAAATTGACTGTCACCATCAGGGCCCAAACTAAACGTATTATTCGTTGCATTTGCAACGGAACGGGTCCTTTGTTTTTAGTGTGGATATTTTGCAAGAGTACTACTTCCGACGGCCTTAGTCCGGACTATTCTCTCTCTATAATAAGCATAGGATATTTCTGCAGCTCTCCAGCTTACAAATTTAACCCTGTGTAACGGGGCTTCATTCTTTCTTTTCATACTGTATCTCTGTTCTTCTATGTTTTTATAAGTTATATTCTATTACATATGCCACCTACTATCTCTTCCCGGTCCTATCCTCTTCTTGTGCCATTTCCTGCCCGTGTCTAGACTGTTTTTCCGACTACTGCAACAACCAAGGCTTCTGCAATTATAACGCACTGGGCCTGAAGCAATGTTCATGCAGTCCCGGCTATACTGGTGCTCTGTGTGCCACTGAGATATTCACAAGTGAGTTCTTTTCGTGATTCTGCGAAAACTTTTAAAGGCTCGACATTCAACAAAATTAGAAGTCGACTTGTCAAGATTCTTTTGTCCATTCTTTCTCTCCAGTTAGCTGCTCGTGTTCATCTAAACGGTAGTTTGACCCACCTGTAACGAAGGGATATTGATACCAAAATGCCACTAGCAGGCAAAAGGATATGAGTGACTGCACCTAACTGCACCATTCCATGTTAACGCAAACTGAGAGCTAGCAAAACAAATCATTCTTTTTCGTCCTCTGAATTGATTCATTAGACACCCTTAGCAAAAAACCTTATGTCGTAACGGTATTATCGTAAGGGGGAAAATACCGTGATTTGGGTTCGACCTTTAGCAAGATGCACGCTATTTTTAGTACGCTGTTGCCACGAGAATAGCTTTGATTTCGCGCGGTACAACCATTTTTGTCACCATATACGCGATACAAGGTGAAATGCGTACGGACTATGCAATATTTGGCCAAAACACGTACCGTTGGTCACAACGATAAATCAGCCCCCATCACGTTTATACGCTGCAGCTTCAACGCTATTTGGGTGATCAAGGTACGAGTACCGTAAAAAAATAGCGTTACCGTTGTTTGCTAAGGGTGTCTATTGCCTGATCTTTTCTTGATGCCTTTGTTTGCGTCTTCATCATCATGTCTTCATCATTTTCCTCTGTTTCCGCTGGTGTGCAGGTTGTTCGTCGTTAACTTGCCACTACAATGGCGACTGTACGTCGGACCCGTTTGGACAGGAGTCATGTTCCTGCTATGTCGGATTCCGCGGCCAATGGTGTGAAACAGTGGATACTTCAAATGGTGAGTCTATTTTCATGCGAGTGTTGCCGGCATAGTACAGTGCTGCTCAATGAAATCCAGCCGCGTCACTCAAGTCTGCGCCTTGCACCGTTTCGCAGCCCGGTGTTCGCAGGTCTACGGCTGCACAATGCCCGGCGCACACTTTAGTGACTCGACTGGAATTCAGTGAGCGACACTGTATAATGTTTGCCAACCAACCACCCTCTCCGACTCCCACCCACACAATAGACGCAACACGTTTTAAAGTGAACGGTTTTATCTTTCGTATCTCAACAGAAATCTAATTTGTCGCTCTCCACTAAGTTCAATGATAAATTTTCAGTTGGACAAACTACTGAAGTGAATATAAGAACCTGAAGTGAAACTAGATTGTACCACACTGCCAGGTGACATCAAAATCGTAGCACACGTTTGCTATGGGGTTGGGGAATGAGGGGGAGGGGGGTCTTCTCTCGTCTTTCCCCCAATGAAGCGTGTTTGATTCAGTTTTGTACAGAAACTTCAAAGTCATGTATACTGCTTGATCCCCGAACCGCCCGGGTGAGAGGGATATGAGTGTACTGTGTGTGTTTGGTCTTCAGAGACGAAACTGCGGGTAAGTCCACGCCTTCTTACCGCTGGGTAGATGTACCTTCTGCAGCTGCAGTACATTCTTGTTTCCTGTATCAAGTTACTATCAACGACTTCCAAACATGCTTTATTTTGCCTCTTGCCTTTGTTTCACGATCTCGTCAGATATCAGCTCAGCTCCCGACACCAGGTCCAGCCTGTCAACAGCCGTAATTGCCTTGATCAGCGCAGGCACCTTCGCATTGCTGTGTTTCATCATTGTGTTAACATGCCTGATCCTTCGCTCGGCCAGAAACCGGAGGCTGAATCATAACTACCAGCTCCTGATGGCATCGGAGGAGGATCAAGTGCGCACATGCCCAGCACCACCAGCGACAACATCCGGTGCATGTCAAATGGCTCCTCAAGCTCCGTGCACTCAAGCTGACAAGACCGATAGCCCCACTTCGCCAGTAGTGTCGGCCTCGAGTCCTGCACCCAGTGTAAGCCACACTGATGCATCCCCGAATGTTCACACAGTCCCGAGGCAATCGGTTCGCACCGTGCCCCAGCCAACACACAACCCACATGACACTGCATATGCAATGTCCCAGCCAACACACAACCCTCATTATACAGCCAGTAGAATGCCTCAGCCAGCTCACCGCCCTCATCCCGCCGCTAACACAACGGAACAACAAGGATACGTGCCTAGCTATTCACCGGCGTATGCACCTGGTGCTTCCATGCCTGGACCATCCAGCATACCTGGCTTCACAGCCAACCCAGTACTTGCCATGCCTACACTACATGTACCAGCTTATGGTAAGACCGTACCAATCTCCAGGTGAGCGAAATATCGACTTAAGTTTGTCATAGAACTACCATTGCTGCTTTCGATTGAAAGAGAAAATCAAAGTTCGTGGAAGCAAGTGATATGGTTGGTGACGGTGAACTCTTTATAAGACGTCTTTCCCCATTTTAGTTCCCTCACACTAAGGATTGCTGCAATAGAGGTATCCTTAGTTTGCCAATGCTCATTGCATGACAACTATACGTAATGCATGATCAGCCCACCTGCTCAGGCTGTTTTCTTCTTTTTTTATTCACCTGTAGGTGGTGTGTGTTTTTATGGCCAAGCCGTAGCATACATTGGACATCGGCCTGCGTAATTTTGCCTTAGCTACTGTAAACTGTGAAATTATTGCCATGGTCTGATTTCTGCGAAATTCACGACCGCGTGGAAATCGCGAAATTTAGACAGCGCGAAAAGAAGATCTATGAAAGGTTTAGCAAGAATGCCACAGGTTGAGCATGAGTGCCATTCTGCAATCGTAAAATTAAAACCTCGCAAACCTGTCCGGATTCTGAAAACGCGAACTAAAAACGCCGCGAAAATTTCACGCTTTACAGTATTATGTGTTTTGTAGGGCTGCAAGGAATATTCGATTGATATTCGTTCGTTACGGATGAGTATTCGTTAGTTTGTGAAATAAAATATTCGTTGCAGCCCTAGTGTTTTGAACTTCACTGCGAAAACTGGAAGAAAGAACTTTTTTTCCTGAATTTCATTTTGTACAATGTAGCCTCATTAGTCTCGTTTTTCGTAGCCTGTAACTATTTGCAATTGCTTTTTGCTGCGTTGATACTCTAGATCAATAGGCTGCTCTCACTGGATAAGAGCAGTGAGTTAGGTTAGATGTCATGATTTACCACACGATACCATACAATTATGTTTCCATGTGAAAATCTTGCGCTTTTTGTGGACAGCTGCTGTTCTTTTCTTAGATAGTCCACTTGTAATTCACTTTCTTTGCCTCTGCAGCAACTTGCTGCTTCTCTTTGTGCATACCTGCTCCTATGCAGAAATGGTGTTCTGGTAGTGCATTCAACAGCATGCATTAAGAGTTCAACCCATGCATGTACACGTGGTATTAAGAGATTGCCAATGGCACTGAGCAGCACTGTAGCAGGCCACGGGGAGCAGTGCCAGCTGTCACAGCACCAAGCTGTGGTGCTACTCCACTCCACAACACATCTGGATTAGAATGGCGATAACCGTATCCTCCACTCTCATGTCACTAGGAATGCAGCAGCAGCACCACCCAAAGATAGAAAGCTGTGATCATTGTCTTGGATTGTGTGATGATGTTCAGAGCGCATCAACAATGGCAAGCAAATATTCAAGCACATCACATCTCTACAAGTCATAGTACCTAGCATACTATATTAGGCCACCCAGAATTAATTCGTTGTTTCGGGTCACCCGACCGACCGTCTTTTTTCACCCGAACGCAATTTTTTTAGTGCATGCAAATGGGCATGACTATAAGGTACACTATGTACACACGCGACCCAAAATATAGCAGTCCAGACGTCGACCTCAGAAGCAGCGGACAGGATGCAGCACTTGGTGACGACGTTGTCTTCTATCTCCGATTCGCAATCGGTCCTGAAACAGCATCAGCTCCGCCACTGCGTCGCTCATTGACAGAAGTTTTCAAGCTGCTCGTGAGACTCGTTCGCCAGCGAGGCCAACTGAGATCTGGTCCTGGAGGGGACCCGGATCTGATGGGACAATGGCTACGCTGGATCGACTACAGTCAGATTTGATCGACTGGCTTGATGGAGAAAAGCTATTCGATATGCACAATTGTACATGTATGCACATGCCCGCAACTAAAATAAAAAATAAAATAAAAAATAAACCCGACCGACCGACCCTGGTACGGATGAGTGAAGTGACCCGAAACAACGAATTAATTCTAGGTGGCCTTATTGTTATAACGTCATAGTTCAATATTGCCATATAGGGAGATGCTTTACACCCTAAGCAGTCTCTCTTTAATTTTAACATAAAAAAGCTCTGTTTAGTTCGCCCAGCAACAAAATTATCAATGTACAATATCAACGGGTGAAGGCAGGATCTATATCGGAGAAAAGGCATTCAAGTACGCTTGCGGTCAGAGTTACAAATGTACGATATCAACGGGTGAAGGCAGGATCTATATCGGAAAAAAGGCATTCAAGTGTAGCGGGTCGCAGTCTCTCGGAGGCAAGAACGCGCAAGGGTCTCAGTGAACACACTGTAATTGGCAATTGAAAATGTACTGGAAACGAAATTAACTATATCTGGCCATGAAATTAACTAACTGGCTATAAAAGAATCGTGATCAGCAGCTTTGATACAAAGGCAGACTCCGTACGCTAATGTACGGGGATACGCTAACGTATGGGGATACAGTACGGGGATATGCTATACTCTAAACACTAAACGCTATACGCTTTGAAGTCCCCAGCGTGCCAACGCTACACCTCCCCTCTCAAATATATTCACGTCCTCGTGATTCGAATACTACATGTAGGTGATAGCTGGACATCAACAACTGGCTGCTATTTAGAAAAAAAACTGGCGGCATGCATGGTCGCGTCGGAATAAACTCGACGACTTGCATAATATAATACAGGTATGGAGTCGTGAACATTGTAGTAGATCGCGAATTGCTGGGAGAGCGTCAACCGGAGTATGGCAAATAATATCGGAAATGGTAACGTTTGGAATAGACAGAAGAATGAACTGATAAACAAATCATAAAGTAGAAGCACACCAGGTTCTTTTTATTTGCATTTGTGTAATTTCTGATCTTCTCTTTCTCATTTCTGTTGCATTCTCAGATGCTCCCATAAGTGTATCATTCATAGTATGCCCCCTTGGCCCGCACAGTCCATGTCGATTCCGAGACCGAAATGGTCGGAGGAGTGCACTGCGCCTGACCAGCACAGCTCTTGTAGCACCTACTACTCCTTTGTTGTCTTTGTCCCTTTTATTACCCCTATTACTTTGTAGGGATGTGCACATAGTATATAAAAAAAAAATAAAAAAAAATAAAAAAAACACGATCTCAAGGGGTCAAAAGGGGAAAGAACTCCAAGAACTCCAGTCTCTCCGGAGGCGTGGGTTCGAATCCCACCGCTGCCACCAATTTGTAGCGGGTCGCAGTCTCTCGGAGGCAAGAACGCGCAAGGGTCTCAGTGAACACACTGTAATTGGCAATTGAAAATGTACTGGAAACGAAATTAACTATATCTGGCCATGAAATTAACTAACTGGCTATAAAAGAATCGTGATCAGCAGCTTTGATACAAAGGCAGACTCCGTACGCTAATGTACGGGGATACGCTAACGTATGGGGATACAGTACGGGGATATGCTATACTCTAAACACTAAACGCTATACGCTTTGAAGTCCCCAGCGTGCCAACGCTACACAAGTATGCTTGCGGTCAGAGTTACAAATGTACGATATCAACGGGTGAAGGCAGGATCTATATCGGAAAAAAGGCATTCAAGTACGCTTGCGGTCAGAGTTACAAATTGCTCATGGCTACTGGTATTCTCATACTATTCCCATCGCAATCGAAATAGTGCGCAAATGCACGTTTGGCTTTGCAATGTAAACATTAATGGAAACAAACAAAGAAAACTCCAGAAAGCCTAGCAGTTCTCTCAGGCTAGAACAAAACTGAGAAGAGTGGTCTGTAAGTAGAGTTGCCAACGGGCAGTAGGATACCCGTGCTGCCCGTAAGTAGATTGGGTATTCGGGTAGCAATTTGCTCCTGCGAACCCGATCGGGTACTGTAGAGCGGGTAATTTTAGCGACTATTAATTTTAGCGTTTTCCCATTGTCAACCGGTTAGCGACATTTTATTTTAGCGATTTGCACCGATTTTTACTCACGGATCACCAGTGCACTACTAATGTCTCAACGGATTAGCGACTTGAAATGTTAGCGAAAATGAGTCGATCGCTAAATTCGCTAGGGTTTTTACGTCGCTAAAATTACCAGTTCTACAGTAGTTGAAGTACTGTGTACTAGCAACGGTGCACGTAAAAAGCATGGCTATGCGCTTCCTGTAACCTTTCTATGTAGCGCGAGTGCACACTCACTCTACACGCTATGTCCAAAAATAAGCGATAGGGTGCCTGTGCTACCCGGATAAAATACCCGACCAAACCCCTACCCGTTGCAGCCCTAGCTGAAAGGTTGAGCACATTGCAGAATGTTTAAATGAAATGTCAGTGCCTAGAGAAACCCACACGCAGGACTCTGATGATCTGATGCTAGCGTACGAACATACACGACATCATTGTGTAATACGTCGGTACGCATCTGATGAAGAGTTTCCCGGAATACGACTGGCCCGTACGCTCAAACACGTGCAGGGCACCTTCTAGCACGAGACAGCCGCAAATGCCGCACGACATCGCGATGCGCTCAAGCTCGATGCAGCGCTGAGCCAGTGATCTCCCTCGGGCACTGTCCAGTGCCCATGCCTCTACGCGCTGATCAAACTCACTGGCCTCCTTGGGGCAGACCCTGAAGCTCATGTCGGGATCAGGCAGGTAGAGAGGGTCTGTGAAGGTGGTGGGCTGAGTGTGAGCAAGGTCACCTGTGGATAGGGCACAAGAGAAAAGAACACATCAAATAAATATATGATATTTCATGATGTGTGAATTACGATGATTTGCAATGGAACGAACAGAGAAGGCTACACTAAATACACACACACACACACACACACACACACACACACACACACACACACACACACCATTGGACCATTGGACGCCCATCGCCGGTGGCGATGATAGTGATGCTACAGCAGAAGCCATAGCAGCTTGTGCTGGGATTGCACCATTCAACAGCTTGCAAGGCTGAAGAATTGACCGCCACTATTCAGCCTGGTCTACACCAGACAGCTATGAAGTGGCCTTGTCTGGCCAGTGAATCCCTACTTTTTAGTCTTTCATTTTTTTCACGCACACACATCACACCACATACTCCGGCATACACTGGTTGTTGGTAACTACCCAGGAGAATGAAAGCAAAGTCAGGAGGAGACGTGTGTGACTATAATAGTCGGGAATCGAGCCCGCAACCTATCGATTGGAAATCGCTGCACATACCACTGCACCATATGGGACACACACACACACACACACACACACACACACACACACACACATACACACACACACACACACACTACACCTCTACATACACATACATATGGTAGCACGAGCAGGCTGACAGACATACACACACATGCACGGGCATGCACACGCCCGTATACCATGCATAATGAAACACACACAAGCATACACAAACACATGCACACACACACCTGTAGATACACCCAGTGACACAAAGGAATGCAAATATCTTTCCTCCCCCCCCCCCCCCCACACACATACTCGTACAGGCACCTGCATGCGAAACATAGAAATGATGCCTGGAGTAACGGAAGATAAAAAGGCGTGCAACGGCCCCCGTGTGTTATGCTGCCAGTGTATTATGCTGGTCGTGAAAACAAAATTCACGATTTGCGTGCAGGTCGTGGAAGAACATTGGAATTTTTAAAAGGATTGAAAACTTACCTGACACACCAAGAAACACTCGCTTGTCTTTCCATACTCCCTCTGAACTGAACCGTGCCAATGCCTCTCCTGCTAGGTAGTATTGGTCAATCATTGCTTCGTCTACGCACATCCAGTGATTGTTCCGTGACCAGGGAATGGAAGCGATCACTACCTCTCCCGTGAAGCCGGCCTCCTGTAGTTTCAAGCGACGGAGAAAAGATGCAGTTACAACGATATTATAAGCAAAGTACATCCCTGGAGAAAACGTGCTTTTATTAAGTTCAACCCTTTCCGGGTATATGACGAGAATACCCCCCCCCCCCCCCCCCCACACACACACACACAAACACACACACACACACAAACTGGTAGCAAACGTACCTTGATAAACCAAAGCGGAATGACTTCAGCCCAAGCCAGAGGAGCACGAAGGTCCGAGAATGCCATCAGACCTTGAGCAGATACACCGTCACTTTGCCATGCCTCAAGCAATTCCGTACTTCTTGTACGGCTTAGCTCCGTCTACAGAAAAAAGAAAATAATCATGGTTCGCAACAGACTCGGCTAGAGCCTAGAGGCCAAGTTTCCGCATCCGTAGGAACGCCACCACCCTTCAAGGATCAAGGCGCATATGCAGCTCCTAAAGCGGTGGGAGGTGAGTGGGTGAAATCAAACATGGCCTTCCAGCACCTGGACCGGTTCAGCACGGAACACCACGAAGTGATATGGATATCTGTATCAACAGCTAGCCGGTCCAAGATTGTTATCTGTGCACTCTACCGATCAGGCTCCGCAGCCGGGACAGACACCGAGCTGATCGAATACCTTGATACCCACCTAGATGAGGCCCGCAGCCACGGTGACTATGTTATCCTCGCAGGGGACTTCAATGTCCACAATGCAGCATGGCTAGGGAGCACCAAGACTACCTCGGCAGGAGAAACAGCCGAGGAACTCTGCTATGTTCATGGCCTGGAGCAACATGTCAACATCCCCACACGTGGAGACAACACCCTGGACCTTGTGATGTCTGACTTCAGTGAACCCGTTCAGGTGAAATGCCATGCCCCACTGGGGTCCTCTGACCACGCTGTCCTCACCATGGACTTCCCTATCTCTGCGTTCCGTGAACCAAAAACCACACGCACTGTCTGGCGGTACAACCAAGCAGACTGGAACCGCCTCTGTCACTTTTTCCTAGCCTATGACTGGTCAACTGCCTTCACCACCAGCGCTGATGAGTCGTGCGCCAACATCACCGAAGTTATCCTCCAGGGTATGTCACGTTTCATCCCATCCCGGCAACTCACATCCCGGCCGACGGATCCAGCTTGGTGGACCCCTGAGTGCACGGATGCCATAAAAGCAAAAGAGAGGGCTTGGGCTACTGCCAGACGGCAGAAGTCAACAGCAGCGCGGCAGACAGCCTCAGCAGCCACTCTACGTTGTAATGACATCCTCCAGCATGCCAAGGTGGCCCGCCTGGCTACCCTGCGTACTAAGCTCTCCAAAGCTAGCCTGAGTGACCGCTCGTGGTGGTCTACCATCAAGCAAGCAGGTGGCAGCAGCAGAAACACGTCCATCCCAACTCTTACGCCGCAGCCTGGTTTGGAATGCGTATCGAATGCCGAAAAAGCTGAGTGTTTTGGGCAGTATTTCGCCTCAAAGTGCAGCCTGGGCGCCGACGACTTCCCCGTGAACCAACCAGCGACTGATTTCCCCCACGTTGCAAAGCGCACGGCTGAAAAGCTCTCAACGGTTCGGTTCCGCCCTGCCACTGTCAAGAGAGAACTCCGCCGCCTAAATGCATCGAAAGCTACTGGACCGGATTGCATTCCCGCGCGAGTTCTGAAGATGTGTGCCGACCCCCTAAGTAAGCCACTCTCCAAACTGTTCTCCCTTAGCTTCTACAGCATGGTTATGCCGACATCCTGGAAGACAGCTAGAGTCACACCCATTCACAAGAAGAAATCCAAGAACCTGCCTCAACACTACAGACCTGTGTCTCTGCTGTCTATCATATCCAAAGTGATGGAAACAATTGTCAATCGTCAGATAACCAGTTTCGTGGAGTCCCACAATGTCATCTCTGCGAAACAGTTCGGGTTCAGAAAGGGCCTGAGCACAGCCGACGTCTTAACCAAGCTCCACTGTGAATGGTCCCGAGCAGCCGGCCTAGGAGGAGCCGCCCATGTTTTGGCGATAGACATAGCAGGCGCCTTTGATAAAGTCAGCCATGCTGGCCTGCTGCATAAGGCTTCCGTGTACGGTCTAGACGGCCCGCTTCTCGGATGGCTGGAAAGCTACCTGCACAACCGGCGCCTGCAGGCTGTTGTGGGCGGCCAAGAGTCCTCCCTGCACCATATCCAAGCAGGGGTACCACAAGGTAGCATCCTTGGACCAACGTTATTCCTCCTGTACGTGAATGACTGCGAGGACACCTTGCCTGCTGGTGCTGAGCTTGCCACGTATGCAGATGACACGACACTGTATCAGTGCATCTCTGCCACCGCCAGCATATCCGACTCTGCAGCACAACTCCAGGAAGCAGTGGACGCCGTCTCCCACTGGGGTTCCAAGTGGAAGATCACCTTCGAGCTATCCAAATCTCAGGCCCTCATCATCGACCACCGCAAGCCTCCCCCAGCATTCCCACCAGTGCTCTTCAATGGAGTGACTGTTCCTGAAGAGAAGGAAATTAAACTTCTGGGCATAGCATTCGACTCGCAACTGTCCTACGCAGCACACCTCCGGGCCGTGGCCTCAAAGGCTGCCCAACGCCTACACTTCCTGAGAAAGGTTGCGCCCCTGTTGGACTCCAGCGGCCGCACGGCAGTCTACAAAGGCTTCGTGCGGCCAACAATGGAATACTGCTGCCTGGTGTGGATGGGGTCAGGTACATCCAGACTGGACAAAATCCAGCACAAGGCACTGAAGGTGATTGGCCCAGGCGCCTGGCTCCCCAGCCTGAAACACTGCCGACTGGTTGCTGCGCTTTCGTTCACGTTCAAGCTGTCTTACCTTCCAACAACAAGCCCCCTGAAGCCCATCCTCCCACCTCCAGCCAATCCCCGCCCAGTGGGTGGTCGATCCACTAGGTTAGCCACGGAGACTGCCCACTGCCACCCACTCCAGCTGAAGTCGACGCTGCCCGTGCGCATTCGTAGCAGCCTCCAGGGTTCCTACCCAGACTGCATTATTCCCTTGTGGAACAGCCTACCAGCGACCATTCTACCAGCACGGCCGCAACCCAGCCAGCTCCAATTATTCAAAGAAAAATGCAACAAGTATCTGCTGCACCTGAACTGGCAAGCAGCCACCGACGCCCTATGAAACGGTTTAGACCAGTGCCTCACTAGCATCCTCCCCCCCCCCCCCTTACCACAATGTGACGTTGTCTTTCACTCTGCTTCTCTCACGACCATCTACCCATTGTCCTTGTTTCTCACTATTATTCATTTCCCCTCTTCCTCCTCTCTACATGGTTTTACTGCATTATGGCGCGCTTTGTCTGCGTAGACGCCGAGACCTTTGAGGTCGGCAGAGCAGCCTGGCCCCGCCACCACTTCTCGCACATATTCGGGAATATAGTGGACTTTCGTATAAAAAAAAAAAAAAAAAAAAAAAAAAAAAAGATCAGACCCACCAAAGTGGTCAAAGACCGATAATCCCATTCATTGCATCCATACATAAATACAAAGGTTTACGGTAAACCAATCGCTGAGAGGTCGGGGGGGGGGGGGGGGGGGAGAGGATGTGTCAAAGTGGGAAATATAATCCACTAAACCACATACGCTGTGGAAGAATGTGATAAGATGGTAAAAAGACCCCCCCCCCCCCCCCACACACACACGTACACACACAGCGGTAGGAGTAACTGTTGCAAGCTTGTGATGCCCGATTTCTTGACACAGTAGTTTGCGACGTGTGCAGGAAATGTAGGTGGTCCACGGCATGCCACTCATGTCTTTCTATTTCTATCCGAACCCAGAAAGTACGGGCACCTCGGTCTACAGGGCACTCATGGGTTAGTTTTCGGTGGAAATACTACTATGGCCCTTCCAAAACGTAACAGTATTCTGAGTTAGTTTTTGTTTGTATTCCTTACTTAGAGTGGGAAGTCCAAAACAGGCCCTAGCCTAATAACAATGGTCCCACTAGAGACGTATAATTCAAGACATGACCAGTGCCCGGTTCCGGATTGTTCTCACAATAGAGATACGAGTGCGCCCTTCTCAATATGTACAGACTGCACTGTAGGTATCCAGTGTGAGTATTTATAAGAAGAAGTAGCTGGGGGTGTTATTGCACATTATAGCGCAGCTTGCGTTTCCTTGGTCCTTATTTATTTTATAAATTAATCCTCGGCTGGCCACCCGAGTCCAATTATGAGTATTATTAATTTTCAAGTTATGAGTATACCTTGACTTCAAACTCCGTCCATTGCTTGTTCCACTCAGCAGTACCGTCTGCTTCAGCGTTCAAGTAGACGCCAATGTCCTTGTTCAAGCTCAGGCCGTGCGGTGTGAGCAGGACAAGCACTTCCACATCCAGTGCGGCGATTTCTCTGGCCATCTCCATGGTCTTCTTGTGCAGCTCAACTGCGCCGTCCGGGAGCCCTGCAGAAACGCGGACAAACTTCACAAGTTTCAAACGGAGACTCAGATTCCTGGGCAATGGCTGATTATTTTCCAGAGTACAGTTCTCAGCATGTGCAGCCACCATTGTAGCCATCCGTTATATCCGTACATACTCACAATACAGTCAACTTGGCTAATACCGACTGCGGATATACAGTCAACTTGGCTAATACCGACTGCGGATATACAGTCAACTTGGCTAATACCGACTGCGGATATACAGTCAACTTGGCTAATACCGACTGCGGATATACAGTCAACTTGGCTAATACCGACTGCGGATAGAACGACAATTCGCGAATAACGACAGAATTTCCATGCCCAGAGCAAAATCCCATCTAACTGTAATACATAGAATGAGACTTCGGGTATAACGACACTTCGCGAATAACGACACTTTTCTGACGCCCCGCCGAGTGTCGTTATACACAAAATTGACAATACCCTCCAATCGATTTTATTCTCACTTTTTTTAGTCGAATTTTCTAGAGAAACCAGCTTGTTTTCACCATATCTGATGGACAGCGACAAGTTGGGTTTGATGTGGCATGCAGTTTCGCGTTTGATGGTGTAGATGTAGATACATGGACAGACCTCACCAACTGCCTCCATACATCAATGGTGTGTAGTACACAGAACAGCAGGGTGGCAACTGCGGGCAAGGCTAGTTCGTCGCAACTACTGTAAAACATGTGATTTTAGGTGCATTGAAATTTAGGTGCCAGGGACCTGCCAGGTTTCAGGTTTAATTTAGAATTAGGTGACCAGCGTTCCCTTCACATATAGTGCATATTCTAGTGCAATGTGTAATTTAAATTTACTTGTGCCTGTTTTCTCTACCGAAATCAGCGAAATTAAAGTTACACCGAAAATTACATGGTTTACAGTTAATATTTACAGTATTACTTTGTGTTTCATACTCGCACCTGTGCAACCCTCAGTCAATACCTACTTCTAAGGTGTATGGTGTGCATTGTATTCAACGCTATACGTTTGTTTCAGGATTTGATTTTACTTTACGTTATCAAAGGAAAACGTGTGCACGCACCAGGGCAACGGTTGATTAAACGAACAAGGCATGAACGCTACGTTACGGCGTTAGGCACTTGCTTGTGTGCTCACTTCTTGCTGCTACAGCGCGTGTATCCGTTGGAGGAACATTGTAACAATTATTCCAAATGAAATTCGAATTTCAAAAGGCCAAATTGTCCTCACCGGATTTCTTTGGATCCAGTATCATCGCTCCATGTGGAATCAAAGCTCCGCCGAGGAACACCATTGTCACGGCAGTTCCGCAGGGCGGTGCGCAAGCTGGAACGTTTTATCTCTGTTTCCTGGGCTATGAACTGAAATACTAACAAATGAATTTGTTCTACCACCACAACAACAAATTAAAAATTCATTGATGAATAGGCGCTAGGCCGAAAGATGTTGGTCGTGTAATGAACTGAGTTGTTTCGTTGATCTACGCTCTCTCAAGACTCAAGAGTCAAGTACAAGTGTCATGCCACTTCATACTTGTGACATGGTGACACAGACAGACTGTTAGCATGGTTAGTGCAGTGAACAATGCAAATCGCATGGTGAGTGCACTAGTGCTAGTGCCAGTACTGGCAGTAGGGTAGTGCGCGCGGTGTGCAAGTCAGGTAAAAAAAAATTCGTGCCTTGCATCCGGCCGGGGGGATATCCCTAACTACCGGTATCGTGATCACACAAAAGGCAATACTTTCACAAGTGTTTGTTCTAAATGCCATGGAAGAAGAGCGTAGAACTGACCAGTCAAACATGGTGACCACTGGTTATACATGTGTTAATGGACAGGTATTATGTACATGTGTAAAATGTACAGTCAACTTTGCGTCTAACGACTCTGGGCGGGGCATCAAAAAAGTGCCCTTATTCGCGAAGTGTCGTTATACCCGAAGTCTCATTATGTATTACAGTTGGATGGAACTTTGCTCTGGGCATGGACACTGTCGTTATTCGTCAATTGTCGTTATATCCGCTGTCACTTATTAGCGAAGTTGACTGTATGCTGTTTGCATTACGCAGAGCTCACTCACTTGTCAGTTTGAGCACTCTGGCAAGGTATGTTCGGGCCTGATTGGAAATTTATATTTCCATTGCTATCAGGTTCGGCCTCAATTCCTCTGTGCTGCGCTGATGAGTTCACAAAGAACGAAACAGCATGCTGTCCGCATATTGAGTACAATGTACATGTACATTGTACATAGTATGTTGTTAGTTTGACAGCATGAAACAAGGTGGAGGACACTGTGTTCGGAAACAGTGACCTTACCACTGTACAACCAGCCACGGTTGATAGAGTTTCCGAAAACAGTGTCCTCCACCTTGTTTCATGCTGTCAAACTAACAACAGGTGTGAACTATATAAACTGGTATAACAAGGTTTATCATTGGGTTATCGGTATATAATACCATGCATGTGCATACATGTGCATGTACAGTAAAACTGCCCAGATCCGGACGTCCCTACCCCGGGCACCGTTCTGACCCATCTATTATTATCTTTATTCTCACGGTGGCCGTAGCCAATAAGAGAGACATCTAGACTGAGAGTCACGCAAAATGGCAGATCGAACTTCGAAGGACAAAAAGACCCCAAAACTATTGATTCGCATGGAGAATGGTTTCTTGCATTCTTAGATATGTACTTGTCTGTGTATGTTCCGAGTTACGGGCAGTGCTTGGTCCCAATCTTCCGGGATCTAGGCGGGGGGGGGGGGGGTACTGTATTGTGAAGGGCACCCTGATTGTTCCCGCACCTTGACTTCAGTCAGTTGAGTAACACGCCCGTTGAGTAATTCGCCATGTACAGTGCCGCTCAAAGAAATCCAGTCTCGTCATTCAAGTGCACGCCGGGCGTTGCGCAGCCCTAGACCGGCGAACATTGGACTGGGAAATGAGCCAAGGCGCAAACTTGAGTGACCCAACTGGTTTTCATTGACCAGGACTGTACTTATCTCTACCAGCATAATACTAGTACCCTTACGATAGGTTGGACATGACGTAATCCAGTAGCGTACTCCACTGCTCGAAGAGTGCTCATTACCCAAAT